CAATCTACAGATTTGTATCATCCAAGGCTAATTATTAAATGGACTGGTTCTTAAATAGCATTTTTCTACTCTGAGCACTCAAAGCCCTTTACACAACTTGCACCTTTACCCACGGACTTTTTCTTTTTTCTACGCACTTCCTGTCTAACATTCACACACCGATGGATGCATCAGAGAGCAACATGGGGTTAGTATACTTGGCATGCAGACTGGGATCAAACCACCAACCTTCCTGTTAGTAGGTGACCTGCTCTACCATCTGAGCTACAGCCACCACTACCTGCAGATAACTAAGTTCACCTTTTTAAGGTCCATGCACCGTCTAGCAATCTGTGTTTGGGCAGAACAGGAAATATTTTTCTTGCTTATATTAAGAAGGTTTTACTGCTTCCTTTAAGTTAAATGAGAAATGTATATTTTGCCAAGTTGCCTTGTGTCTTAGCAATGTTACTTCATATGAAAAGGGTTCCTGAGGTCTCCATGATTAGAAGTTGGCTCTATGTACAGATGTGAAATAAGTCAAACCTCAAGTAGGGCAAAAAAACAACAAATTAAACCCAAAACTGAAAGTGCTTTGAAAATGCCAGCCCTTTGCCTGTAGGAGTGAATAGTAACAATGTATATTAATATCAAACCTTTTTATAAGGTAAGCAAGTGTGTGGATTGTTTAAGAGGAAATTCATTTTAAAGCTTTTTATTTTGCATTGCTGTAAAACAATTTTTGTTTTACGCTAAACCTACAAAAATCTGAATTTTCAAGGCCAAGCAGTAATTCAAAACTGAGCTAGTCTGATGCAGCAGATGCACGTCTTAGTTGAATATGTCAGCAGTCACTGTCAAGGCTGTGAGGCCAGTCAGCAAAGGTGGACCCAAACGCAGAACCAACAGAGACTGGTGTCAAGTTTCACAGCCTTTACATTTACACACAAAAATAAGCATGAAGGTAAGTAACACAGGGACACAGACAATTATTTCTGATCACCACTACCAGGTGTAGACGTGGACAGAACGATCCAAATATCAATACTTAGGCTACCAGGCGAAAGCGCATCAAATCCGATTTTTTTGACCCTATGCGACCCATATCCGATCATGCTATGACAGTGTGAATCCAATATTTTCAAATCCGATCTGGGTCACTTTCGTATGTGGTGCTGAATCCGATACATATCCGATGTTTTATAAAGCGACTGCTGTTTGATGGTCATGTCGCATTAAATCCGTCTTTTATGTCACTGGCACAAGACAGACGCCAATTATCAGCGCCGGAGAAGACATCACGAACGCTTCCTGGCCATCCAGTGTAGATGTTGGGAAGACAACGTTGGAGAAAACGTGAACATTTCCTTTGAAGCACCGCTCCTCTCTAAAACAGCAATAAGGATCATTATTAGGCCAAATGTAAATAACAAAATAACTTTATAACTCAAAGTAAAATTGGGAGACATAAAGTCCGAAACAAGTCTTTACATTAAGGGCCATCAGTCAAACACTGCTGTTGCTCTGGGTCTAAACAGAGCGCGTTGTGCGTGACGTCTTCTTTTGCGCATGCGGCTGCTTTGAGCGTTCACACTAGAGCGCGTTTGCTGTCACATTTTATTTGTAGTGTGAACGAGCAGACA